CCCCAAAACCCCAAAACCCCAAAACCCCAAAGGATCAAGATTGATCAAATTTTACAAAAGAATTATAATTTTAAAAAAATTAAACTTTTAGGATTTGATAATGAAAAAGAGTTTTGGATCATAAGCTAAATATTGCACTATTTGCTATATGTATGGTGAACTAGCTCCTAAAATGTTTGATTGCGATTGTTCTAAAAATTATTGCCTCGGTTGCATCATTTCATGGATGATAGAGACTGCTAAAAACTAAATGCTTTTGCCTACAATCAATGTTAGATGTCCAAATCAGAAATGCCCTAAGACAACTAGTTTCAATGACTTGATGGAGAAAATTTTGGCTATAGAGGATGAAAGGAATTATTAATTTGAGGGTTTAGCCAAAATATCTCTCAAGCACTACTTGATAAACAATGAAGAAATGAGATAATGCCCTGCTCCAGATTGTGAATATAGTGGTTTTATTACATCTGGCTACTGCAGCGACAAAGTTTAATGTAAGAAATGCGGTTTAACTTGGAGAGATCCTGAAAATTATTCCTTATCAGAAAAAGCCAGGCAAGTGATTCGAGATCTTCTGAGTTTTAACTCATCACATACTACCTACCTTCGAAGTCTTATCTTGGAAGAACCTTGCCCGAAGTGTGGAGTTATGATTTATAAGAACGGTGGATGTCCTCATATGGTTTGTGGGAGGTGCAAATACGAATTCTGTTGGAACTGCCTTGGCCCTTACTTTCATTATAAGCATCAACTTTAACTATTTTGTCCTTTCAGATTTATTGCTGTGTAGGGCGTTTTTGTATTCCTAATATATATGTTGTCTGCTAAAATCGCATACATGGATTCCTTCTTAATTTGGTTATATTGGAGAATACACTATAAAGTGGCATGCTCTGCTTTAGTAGATGTATAGGTATTACTTTATTCTATACTTGTGTATAATATTAATCGAATACGAATAAGATTTGATAATTTGATATACCCTGCTAAATATTCTGTGAAAGGAATATACTGCATTATTGCGATGACTTTGATATCAATAGGATTTATTGTTCTACTTTTTTAGGAGTATTATTTCAATGAATTTACAGAAACAATGATAGTCTGCTTGGCCTATCAATTTTTTATCTACGGGTCAGCATTTTTGATTTATCTTGCTGTAAAACTTATGCTTAACGCTTGGGAAAATTACAAACTAAATAGAGTCAAGAAAATTGACAATATAAGGGCTGAAAATACTCTAGTCAAGAGAAAAGCTGACTGATAAAACAGTATTTTCTGATTAAAATATACCTTCAAAATTATTTCCTTGCAGGAAAAATAGGAATAATGATAAGTTAAAATACCCTATATTATTTGATTTTATTTATTAATCTCATATTGGATTCTTAAATCTTTTAAGTGGGGTTTTGGGGTTTTGGGGTTTTGGGG